ACAAAACAATTGTTCTGATGTGTTAAGATCTTTCCGTGAATATCCACTATTTCTATAACCAAGAGTAACAACTTAAAAAAAAAAAAATTGCTATCATTAAAGGCCTTAAAAATATGGAACGTAAAATAAAATGTCTGAGATTAAGTGGGTCAAGAGCAAAAGGTTGTCTTAATTATTCACAAATTACAAATTGTATTATACTACAATTGTATTACTACAGAGTGAGTTCCAGGACAGCCAGGGATATACAGAGAAACCCTGTCTCAAAAAAAAAAGAAAAAAGAAAAAGAAAGAAAGAAAGAAAGAAAGAAAGAAAGAAGGAAAGAAGGAAGGAAGGAAGGAAGGAAAGAAAGAAAGGAAAAAGAAAAAAAAGAAAAAGAAACTACCCAGAAGGCAAGTGACTTGTGGCCACAAACCATTAAATCAAGAAAGGTACACCCACTTTGCATGCAAACTGCCTATCAATTGCTCATTCTACCAATAAACACTGCTTCTTTCTTTCAATAACTGAATCTAGCAATTGGCTCTCTTGCTTAGAAGACAAACTTCTAGTGTACCTGAGTCCACCTAAGAAACTGGCAAGTCTGCCCTCCGTGAACACCCATTTTAAACACTATCTTAGGAACCAAACAGTTTAAAATTTCCTAAGAATTCGTATTAAAGAGACTTCTTGAGTCCCACAAATGACTGGAATCTCCCAGATTCAGCTAATAAAAACCAGATGTTCTCTCCCTTGGGACAAGACGAATTTGAAAGAAGAAAAAAAAACTCACAAGTTATCGGTAGTTACATTTTTCTGCAAGACCTGAAGCCTAAGGTGTCTCATTCTGCCAAACTCAATATATACAATTCCTATTATGACTACTATTCCAATTCTTACTATCTAGCCAACTCCCCGCCCCATCATACTATCCCACTAGATTCCCAGTCAGTTCTCTTCGGTGAAACAAAAGCTAGAAGTAAACCACCCTTCCTTAGTTATCTAGGCCTCTTTCAGACATTATATTTGTTTCTACTATGCTTGATGTCTGTTTAACATAATTTATGCCCTAGTGCCTCCTGTGATTGAATTCTACTGATTCTGGCAATTAAAAGCTTTTTTTTTTTTTTTGAGACATGGTTTCTCTGCATAGGCCAGGGTGTCCAGGAACTCACTCTGTAGACCAGGCTGGCCTCGAACTCAGAAATCCACCTGCCTCTGCCTCCCAAGTACTGGGATTAAAGGTGTGCACCACCACTGCCCGGCTAGAAGTCTTTTATACCTATACATTTCTCATCAAAAGTACGTCCAAACAGGTGGTAGTGTCACAAGCCTTTAATCTCAGCACCTGGGAAGCAGAGACAGGTGAATCTGAGTTTGAGACCAGCCTGGTCTACAGAGTCTAGGATAGCCAAGGCTTGCTTCACAGAAAAACTCAGTCTCGAAAAATAACAAAAAACAAGCAAACAAACCAAACCCCCCCAAAACAACCAAAAACTACCCCCAAAAGGAATTAAGTCATGTTCGAAACTTCAAAACTGCAGTGACAAGCTCCTTCTCCTTTCATACTTACTAATAAGTTTTTAAAAAGTAAAATCTAACTCCAAATGAAAACAAAACCTCCATAAAGAAAATGTCTTTTTAAAAGTGCTAATTGCAGATACAACCAAATATGTCCTATGCTTATTAATCAACTGTTAAATTCACAGAAACAAACCCCTGGTGACTAAGATCACTGAACAGCGATCTTGTGAATATGTGATGCAAACCCTCTGAAGTCTGTTTTAGAAAGGAATCCTGTCAATCGATAGGAATTCCCAGCTCCTGGAGGTGAAGACAGCAAGATAAAGAGTTCAAGGCCAGATTGAACTAAAGGAGACACAGAAGTAATCCATCCTTCTAGCAATCCATCCATCCATCCATCCATCCCTCCCATAAACAGGAACACAGAGACTGTTTTTAAGAAAGTCTTGCATAGAGCTAAAAGGACTGACTGATTTACAAAGACATCTTGTAAATCTTGAAGATTCTTTCCAACTCTGTGGCCAAAAGTACCCTTCACCTTCCAAATATAGGCTGACACTTCTCTCATGGCTGTATTACTCAGCTGCTCCTCTAGTGCAAACTCTGGCTACCTTTCCTCGCTGAACAGCAGTAACCTCTGTTTTGTAATACCTCCTTACCACATTATCTACTCATCAAACAGCCCCATCCGGGAGTTGCTTTTAACTCAGGCATTAATCTCTTCAAACATACTCTGGTGAGTGTATACAGGTACAGAAGTAGCTGATTCTCCTTAGAGAAGAAAGCCTACAAGTTTATAATTTCTCTCCTGTGCATTAAAAAGCAATGATAAGACACAATGTGAGGAAATAATTTTACATTTCATCCATGTAATAGTACTTCAGTGAAAGCACAACCCTTGTATATCTAGTTTGTATCTTATAGTGTGTTTTCAGAAAAAAAAAAAAAATTGGCAACAGTCCCCCTTCAGGATGCAAGAAAAGACAGGTAGGAACTGGAGCACATACATTTAACACAACCAACCTCATGAATTATTTTAAGATAATCTATTTTTTTTCATAAACTTAGAGATCTTATTCCTCATAAATGTGGTACCTGCTTTAAAATAATTTGTGAAAAATGGTTTTATCAAAAAGTTGTTGCAGCCCTTAGAACATTCTTCCAAATGCCACTGTGTCTTGAGTGAAAATATTCAACACAATGGGTTAACAGAGCCAGCAGTGAGAGGCACAGGTGAGGGCTCACCTGTATAGCTCAGTCTGCCTTTGAACTCTCCTTCCAGCCTCAGCTTTCCAAGTCACAGATTTTTATATTTCATTTTAATAACTTGGTATTTCATCTTAATAGTTGCCAACCTCTGAAGAAATACCATGCCTACAAATGATAAATTGTTGGAATTCCATGAGGTCAGAACTTGACTATTTAGTTAGAACATAACCCCTAGTGGGTTATGCTAGAAAGCACCTCTAACACATGACCAGCTTTGTCTGGATTTCCTTTTTCCTCATTAAAGTCCTAACTCACCCATTCACCTGTTCTCTTTTAGCTCCAGCTATTCAACTTCCCTGATACATTCTATATCTCCACAATGTTATCACATTAGCCATTTTACACCATTAGGGAAAACCACACATTCTTTCAGGGCTCATAACAAACTGACTCCTCCCTACAGCCCCTTTTTTGGAGGCAGGGTCCCTCTTCACCTTCTGCTGTCCTAGAACCCATCCACTATGCAGACCAGGCCAGCCTGAGCTCAGAGATGCACCTGCTTGAGGGCTGGAATTACAAACAAGTGTCATCAAGCCGAGACTGAAGACTGATTTATTACATCTTCTCTCTCACAATTCTTTTTTGAAAGCAATCTTTTGACTCTTAACACCTTACACATCAAGGGAGGCCAAGTCTTTTCTATGCACTCCCATCCTAACCCTCAACTCTTCTGAGTCTTAATAACTCAACCTGACTTGAAGATAAGCCCTTCATACCACAAGATTAAGAAGTCTATCAGAGTCACTGATTCAGGCATGGGACAGGTTGCTATTGCTTAGTATCTATGTTGAAGCCAAAATAAGGTCCTGTCAAAACGACAATAATCACCCTTCTGCTAAGGGAAACAAGCAACTTTTAAAACTATTCTTCTCGATGTTTGTTCAGTTGGTTTAAAAAATACTCCCAGGAGCCAGGTGGTAGTAACACATGCCTTGAATCTTAGCACTTGAGAGGCAGAGGCAGGTCTGTGAGTTCGAGGCCAGCCTGGTCTACAGAGTGAGTTCCATGACAGCCAGCACTACGAAGAGAAGCTCTGTCTCAGAAAGACCAATCAATAAAAATACTGTCAGGAAAACCAGGTGTGAGGGTCTTAGTCACACTTGAGAGGCAGAGGCAGGAGGATTTCTTTAAGTTGGAAGTCAGCCTGGTCTACAAAGCAGGACAGTCAGGGCTGTTAACTCAGAGAAACCATGTCTCAAAAAAAAAAAAAAATGCTGTCGGGAATTCAGAACTCTGTAAGGTAGTTTAGAAGTTCATGGATATGGTTGATGATTCAACTTCAGTTAATTAATGCAAGGACTCATGACAACTTACCACTGGATTAGCAATGCCCTCCACGATAGCTCTATTGCTTAGAGAAGGGGCCACCTAATGCAACCTGAATGGTGGGATGGGGTCTCATCAATCGCACAACAGGACAACTTTCAAGACAAGACACCTTCGGAGGTTCCCTGTCAAGTTTTTCCTCGTGAAGGAAGTCCAGAATGTGATAGGAAGAGGCTGTCGGGCTATACTTCCACCACTGCACTGCCTAACTTTCTCGGAGCGTCAGCTTCCTTTTGGGGCTGCAAGACTCTACAGGAAGCATGTACTTGAGGGGACCCGAGTGGGAACCAAGAAGGTATCACCGGACTTCGAGGGAAAGATTTCCTCTGCTTCCCTCTGGGAGCGGCCTGCACTTTTTGCGGGATCCACATGGTTAAGAACTAGAGACTTGGAGAGGAAGCCTCCAGGGCCCTTCAGAACAGCAAATGCTGAGAAGCGCATCACAGCTGAGGAGCTGAGCAGACCTCAGGAGTCCCGCGCGGCTGAGGAGCCCGTGGGGACTGGACAGCCGGGAAGAACTAGGGGGACACCGCACACCTAAGAGACCAGGTAAACCTGGGGAGTCTCGCATGGCGGGGAGCCCCCTCATCGCTGTGGAGCCGGGTAGAACTGGGAAGGCTCCAATAACTGGAGAAGCGGGCAGAACTGGGGAGCCCCTCATGGTGAGGAAGCCCCACATGGTTGTTGAGTCCCGCGCTGCCCTTGAGTCTCCCTCCCGTTCGGGGGAGGCCCAGTCAGTGCCGGGTCCCGGTCGCTCCGCACACCTGAGCCGCGCCCAGTCGTCAGCCGGCCACTGACCGGCCCGCGCGGATGCCCGTCCTCCCCAGCCCGGCCCGGGCATCGGCTCGCGGGGTCCCGGCCCACCGCCCCGACCCCGCTCGGCCTCTCGTTTCCATCCTACCTGGCCGGCAGCGGCGACGGTGGCGGTGCTGCTCCTCAAGTACCCGTTCCTCACTTCCCCGTTCTTCACGCAGCCGTTCGCCCGCATCGGGCGGCGGCAGCAGCAGCCTCCGGGCTCCGGCCGCATCCTCCCAGCAGCACCCGGCAGCAGGACAGGCTCTGGAGGCGGCGGCGGCGGCGCCAACTCCCGCTCCGCACCGCACCCACCTCTCCGAAACCGGAAATGGCTGCAGCGGCGCTGCCAATTCCCGGTCCGGCCGTCACGCGAGGGCGGGGCCATCCGAGAAGACGGGGCTCGCCGAGAAGCCCGGCAGCGGGAGGGAACACGGGGCGGAGCCTATTGGAGATTGACCAATCCAAAGGCGAGAGAGGCGGATCTCATGCTGCTTTTGGCCAATCAAGAGCTAGAGAAAAGCAGCTTGTAGACATCAAAGGGACTTCTTCAGAGGAACTCGAGACCTAGGGATTTCATTGGAGCCCTAGCGGTCATAGGTGGAGCTTTCCTGCCTAATGGTCCAAATTGGGAAGGAGGCGGAGCCCGGAAAGAAGTAGCCAATTAGCGTGTGGAAAAAGAAACTGGGGCTGAGCCGATCTCCAGAGCCTGTTCCCCGTTCTCCAGCACAGGTGGTGGTTGCCCTCTGTGCCCTTCCTCCCGAGAGGTTCTTGGATTGACTCCAAGCCCAAGACAGGCAGCTCCTTTATTTCATTAGCAAATTCCTCTGTGGGTGTTAATAGAATAGCCTTTTTGACAGTCTCTCACCGTTCTTCACTGTGAGGTACGCGAACGCCTCGCGTGCTCATCACTTGTTTCTATCCGGGGTTTTCCCAGGGCAATTTCCTTTGAAGACTTTCCTTGAAAGTCAGGAGACCTGATCTGTTTCCAGATCTTGTGATAACTGAAACTTGAGGAATTAACTACTTTAGAAGCCAAGTTCTGTTAAAATTCTTCCTGCTTCATAGACTCTTTTGCAAGAATTACATTAGTAAAGCGCTGAACACCTATCAAAATACCTAATACAAACCAGTAACGAAGAAAAGAAATTGATCTACATTACAGCATTACAAAGACCTTTAGTTACCCATAAAAAAAAAATCAGTGTCATAATTAAGAGTATGACTCAGTCTAGGTTTGAATCCTGGTTGCCTCACCTACTAGCTGAGTGACCTCTATGTTCCTTCCTCTGCTCAGGGAGATAATAACAGTTGCCATAAGAGAATCTAATGAGTTAATGCATGTAATGTATTTTGTGTAGGACCTAGCAATTAGTAAGTATTCACTAAGTGCTGGTTATTATTAATTGCTAAATGCATCTATATGAATCCCTACATCACACAACCCCTGCTACCCGGAGCTTTAGAAATGCGTTGGCAAGGTATTGGTTTTGCTCGATTTAGGAGAGGACTACTCTTCACAGCAAGTGGAGAGAGGACAAAACTTTCAAGTCACAAACCTTTTGATCCCAAAGTGAACATGAGAATTAAAAAGAACTATATGGGGCCTGGAGAGATGGTTCAGCAGTAAAGAGCACTCCCTGCTTGCATAGAGGACCTGGATTTGGTTCTAGCACCCACATGGTGGCTCACAACTATCTATGACTCCAGTGTCAGAGAATCCAAAGCCTTATTCTGATTTCCCAGTGCACCAGGCACAAACTTGGTGCACATACATACATACATGCAGACAAAACACTCACCGACATAAAATAAAATCTCCTTTTGAAAAGTTGGATTTTTTTATAACACTCTGTATGCCTTTAAGCTAAGCAGAGTAACACAGAGATATAATCTCAGCACTCCTGAGGTAGAGGCAGGAGTGTAGATGTACAAGATAATCTTTGGGTATATAACTTGTTCCATGCCAGCCTGGGATGTAGGAGTCCCTGTCTTAAACATGATGGGGTGGGGATAACTCAATCAATGAAAGGCTGCCAGGAAAACAAGAGGAGTTAAGTCTAGATTTTGAGCATCTAGTTAAAATCCCAGTGCTGGAGATACAGGGATGAGAAGATTCTTAGAGTTCTCTGATCAACTGGTCTCACTGAATTGGTGAGTTCCAATGTCAGTTAAAGACCCTGTCTCAAAAATAAGATAGAGATGATAGGTAGTGGTGGTATATGCCTTTGATTCCAGCCCTCAGGAGGAAGAGGCAGGCAGGCAGATCTCTGTGAGTTCAAGGCCAACCAGGTCTACAGAACAAGTCCAGAACAGCCAAGGCTACACAGAGAAACCCATTCTTGAAAAGAAAAAAAGAAAGAAAGAAAGAAAGAAAGAAAGAAAGAAAGAGAGAGAGAACAAAAGAAAGAAAAAGGAAAGTAGAGAACTGAGAACAATTGGGGAAGACACCGAATGCTGACATCTGACTTTCATGCACATCGTGAATACATGCACACACAAAGAAGTGTATGCCTCGTGAAGCTTACATCCAAGAATCCAGATGTGGGGCTAAAGAGATGGCTCAGTGTTTTGGCTGCTCTCCTAGAGGATGAAGATTTGAGTACCTGAGCCTACCTGGCAGACCACAAACATCTTTATGGGTAGTATGATGCCCTGAAAAGACATACATGAAGTTGAATAAAATAGAAGGGCAACTTTTTGAGGAAGAGGAGAAGGAGGAGGAGGAGGAGGAGGAGGAAGAGAAGGAGAAAGAAGAGGAGGAAGAGGAGGAAGAGAAGGAGAAGGAAGAGGAGGAGGAGGAAGAGAAGGAGGAGGAGGAGGAGGAGGAGGAGGAGGAGAAGGAGAAGGAGAAGGAGAAGGAGAAGGAGAAGGAGAAGAAGAAGAAGAAGAAGAAGAAGAAGAAGAAGAAGAAGAAGAAGAAGAAGAAATAATAATGATAGGTAATAGGAGTTCCAAAATGAGACACTGGATGACAGCAGCTAATCAGATTACCATAGGCAGTGGAGGTGCTCAGGGCAGAAATCTGTTCTCTGGGAGCGGGGGTGGACCTACAGCAGTACATGTAGAGCAGAGCAGAGGTTGGCCTCGCCTGGATCCTGGGAAGAACCTGTCCCTTCCTCCTGAGGACAGGACACCAGCAGCTTCTTGTCTTGTTCTGCTGCTTACTCACCACTAGCCTCACAGGAGTCATGCACACACAGCCCTGATTTCCTCACTCCCCGTTTGAGGGCAATTCCTGTACTTCTTCCTTCAGTAGACGGTTGTGCGCACCCATGATATAATACCCAAATGATCTGATTACTCAACAGGCCATTGCTAAATCACACAAAAAGGATACCTCAGTAGGAAACACCCCAGGATCCACAAAAACAGGGAAATGGTCCCTTCCAGAGGCACAAGCTATCTCCTTCTCACTTTACAGAATGTATACAGACAGGCTCCTGCTAGGTGCCAGAGCACAGCTCTTCTTGTCTTCCAAGATGGCTTAAGCCACTTCAACTGTGAAGCTTTTCTTGAAGTTCATCATCCCTATAAAATTAGACAGAGCCTGTGTCGCATGGCTTTGGAATTCTGTGAGAGGGAGTGATTACAAACAAGAGCTCTGTTGTCAAACACCAAGGAACTGAAGACCCAGCTCCAGCACTTACAAATCTGTGACCTTGCAAAGCAGTCTCGATTCTCTGTGACTCAGCTCTTGTTTGTGTAAAATGGAATACATGTGCTTCCCTGAGCTGGGAAAACTAATTCCAGACCTAGGGGATTCAATACCTTCTTTTAGCCTACTGCCGCAGGAACCTGTGGATACACACTCACACACGCACATGCACACACACCAAAATAAAAATGAATTTTAACCCAGGCTTGTCTCAAACAAACAAACAAACAAACAAATTTTTAAAAAATATTTTTATTTTGTAAATAACATTGTAATGTGGTCTTGTGAAATATACTGTTTAAATTTAGGGATGAGAAGAGTGTTAGTACAGTAAGATTCAAGGTTACATATATTCTGGACACAGCTCAATTGTTGGTTTTGTTTTTTTTTTGTTTGTTTTTTTTTTTTTTGAGACAGGATTTTTCTGTGTCTCCCTGGCTGTCCTGGAACTCATTCTGTAGACCCAGGGTGGCCTTGAACTCACAGAGATCTGCCTGCCTCTGCCTCCTGAGTGCTGAGAGTAAAGGTGTGGACCACCACTGTCCATCTCACATCTGCTGTTTTTGTTTTTCTGTGCATTGGTGTTATTCCTGCATGTATGCCTATATGAGGGTGTTGGAGCTTGGATTTACAGACAGTTGTGAGCTGCTGTGTGGTTGCTGGGAATTGAACCCTGGTCCTCCGGAAGAGCTCTTCATCGCTGAACCATCTCTCTAACCCTTGTTTGTTGTTTTTAATATCCTTATTTGAAATGTCTTTAGGAAAACCTGCATTATTTCTACAGGCAATTCTATCTTGACTGTCCATCAACAAGAAAAACAAATTAGGTTCCAGAGCAAGGGTTTTCCCCCTTCTCATGGCCTTTAATTTTCCCTGTCTTTCTATCTTGCCTCATCAGAGACTGCAGAAGACTAACAGGACAGAAAGGGCCCTTTAGAAGTCACCTATATCCCCAGCTCCCCAGTGCTGGCATTACAAGAGCTCGCAACCATGTTGGGGATTCTATGAGAATTCTGAAGAAAGAACTCAATTTGTCCTGCATACTGGTAAACTGAGACACATCTTTAACTTATTTATTTATTCATAAAAATATTGTTGTATAGCTCAATCAAGTCTTGAATTTGCTCTATAACCCAAGATCTTTAATTGCCAAAGATGATAGGTCTTGAACTCCCGGCCTTCTTGCCTTCATAGGCCAAGTGCTGGGATTACAGAGATAGAACACCATGTCTGTCTTCAGACTTGATTTGCAAGGGATGGGTTGGCCATTTCCCTTTCCATTATCCCTACTCTAATACAGTACAGTCAGGGAAAGAGACTTTCTCCCTGGATTTCTGACCCCACTCTCAGTATTATATTTGCATCTCTCAAGGTAGGACAAGAGTCGTCCTTTTTTCTTCTGGCCTCCCCAAGTGCACCCTTGAGAGGAAGACTGGGCTGTGTGAAGAGATGATTGCACAGGAATATAAGGGTGTAGGAGGAATAATGGTTCCTGATTACTCCCTATAGGGTACCCACTGAGTCTGCAGTAGAATGATTTTAAGCTGAGTCTTATCAAGCATTGACGATAGGAATTCTGAGGTAAGAGATGAGCTCTGGGGATGGGCCAGAGTTTGTCTCAATGGTAAGTCTCTGCTT